AGTGTCATCTGCAAACTTGCTGCGAGTGCAGTCCACACCATCCTCCAGATCATTAATAAAGAGATTAAACAAAACCGGCCCCAGGACCGACCCTTGGGGGAGAAGCAGGAGGGGCTGTGGTGGTGACTTCAAAGAGGAGGGGGGAATGTGGGGTTGACAGGCCGCCACCTCTCCTGTCACCCATTTTCATGTCCCCCAACCCTACTGCCCATCCCCACTTATCCTGCCTCAGTTTGGGGAGGATCAGACCCATAGTTTGAGCCCCAAGTGTGGGCAAGAAAGAAGAACCAAGTAAATAGTTGTTTTTTAGGGGGGGCTGTATCTTGGGAACCTGTGGCTCAAATTACCCCAAATTTGGACCTGTAACCCTATCCCACATTCCCGTAAGGCACGGGAAATTTCAAGACAATCCGAGATAGCAATTGGATTTTAGAGCACTTAGAATTGTTATCTTTTAAACAGTGATTCAACCTTAACTATAGCAAAGCTGCTGGTTCACACTATCAGAGCTGCTAGTCCACTAAAAATAATAAAAACATAGTTTTGAAATTAGAAAAGGATATTGTCCTTTGTTATTGTCTAGTGTTAGACTTCTTCCTTCCTGAGAGCACAGTGACATACAGCACTGTGGCAATATGACATAAAGAGAAACGCACGACATGTGTAGTCCTGGAACAATTGCATCTTGTTCCAGCATGGCCTTTCCTGTCTCTTGTTTGAGAAGGCTATGGGTTGACTAGAATTAGGGCAGACATCTTCCACCTTGCCTTTCCCTTTTGACTGTGGTTTTCTGGCATGAGTTTATGAACAAATGACAGGAGAATTAAGCCATTAGAAGGGAATTGCTTTCTAAAATATAACTGTCTTCAGTGCATGATGCCTGCTAATATTAATACAACTAACACAATTGCTGGAAATCTCTGTACATTTAGGGTGACCAGATAGCGACTGTGAAAAAATGGGATGGGGGTGGGGGGGGGATAATAGGCACCTATATAAGAAAAAGTCCCCCAAAATGGGACTGTCCCTATAAAAACAGGACATCTGGTCACCCTATGTACATCACATTTGATAAAACTAATACATCTAAAAACCTGATGTGTATATAAAATGTGGTTATTTCTGTAATCTGCTCTGACTTTACTTTTCATTTGTTCCCTTTTGTAATAACAAACAGATTAGCAACATTTCCATCCAGGGGCAGGACTTTGGAGAGTCTATCTTTGAGCCCGGCATGACTTTTGCTCTTGCACGCTTTGATGGCGTGCTAGGTTTAGGATACCCTTCTTTAGCAGTTGGCAGTGCTCTTCCAGTATTTGACAGCATAATCAACCAACATCTGGTAGAGGAGCCAGTGTTTTCCTTCCACTTGAACAGGTCAGTTTTTAACATTGAATAAAGGGACACTGTCAAAAGAAGCAAATTTTAACTGTAGATTAAGAAACCAGCCATTTGTATGTGTTTCATCTCCAGAAAGGACATTTTCAAGGTAGGTCTAGACAGAAGCACCAGTGGGGAACATAGTAACTAAAATCATATTTACAGAAATGCTATTAAACTTATATCTTTAAAATAAACACTTGTAGATGCACTGTATAATACACAATTAATGCCCAAATCACTGAGAATTCCAAAGAAGTCTCTTGATCTATTAATCTGATGAATGGTCTACATTTGAAATTTTTTTAAATGAAAAATGGATTTTTTAAAAAAATAAGATGCCAAAGGAAACTTTTCATTGTTTTGAAAATTTCCAATTATTGGATTATTATTTTTTTTAATCCAGTTTTTTGTTTGAAACAGCAACAACAACAAAGTCAGTTTAGTATTTTAGGCTGTTTTTTCATTTTTACACCTCTCCCTTTCCTTTTTTGCATTTTGTCACTGAAAAGGCATGTGAAAAGAAAAAGGAGGAAAAAGAAAAAACGAATTTATTTTGTTGAATCAGAAAATTTAGAAAATGTTTACAAAGCATATTTACCAGCTTTTGACCAGTGCTAATAAGAACAGTTACATTTGACTTTCTTACAGTGTCTTGGGCACTCAGAGAGTTGTTTCGTCAGCTAGTAGGAGATGAACACAACGGCGGTGCTGCAGTCGAGCGACAGTATTTCAGAAGAAAAGGGGCCATGTTCTAATCCCAGTCACACCTAGAGTAACTCTATTTCAATCACTAGATTTACCCTGGATTTATTCTGGGGTAAACGAGACCAGAAACTGGCCTAAGGCACTTGTTTCTAATCTCACTTCTAAACCCTCTACAACCTCTAACGTTTTTAGTAAGGGGTTTAGATTGGAGGCTCTGATTTGGCGCCATCTCTAGGTATAATTATAAAATTAGAAGTTTTAGACTTCCATTGCAACATACACATTTGAAAAAGACGTGAAAGGGTTGAAATTGAAAGCTGATTTCTCCCCCCTACTCCCATGTCCCACTTAAATTTTATGTCATCCAGTTTACATATTTATTTGTTTTGCATTTTTAGAGGAGAAGACATTGAAAATGGTGGTGAATTGATACTTGGGGGTATAGACCATTCCCTTTACAAAGGTTCAATTCACTGGGTTCCAGTTACTGAGAAAAGCTACTGGCAAATTCATGTTAACAAGTATGTATGCATGTCTATAAATCTGATGAAACTGTGCCTCTCTGTGTAAGCCCATTAAAATCCCAGGACATCTGTGCTACAGTAGCCACCCTGGATGTACTGCCTCCCAAAAACAGTGCTCTGGGAAAGATCTGAAGATAATTAGTGTATCCCCTGCTGCAATAATATTTCTGGAAGCACTAACTTTGGTGGCTGGTACTTGGAGGAGTGTCCTTTATTAGCAGGTCACATTAAGGGCCTAGTGGACATCCGTGGGAATTGTGGGAATCCTTACTGTCCTGGGTAAAGGATATTCTCGTGATCTGGAGACACTGAGTTCAATTCCTGCTTGCCCAGCCTTTCTGTGTGATAGCGGTCTAGTCACTTAGGCCATGTCTACACGAGAGAGTTTACAGTGGCGCAGCTGTACTATGCACCTCGGCTGCAGTAAGATCTCTTGTGTAGCTGCTCTGTGCCGACGGAATTAGTCCTCCCCCAACGAGCGGGAGAAGCTCTCCCACAAACATAGCGCTTTCCACACCGGCACTTATGTTGGTGTAACTTATGTCGCTCGGTGGGAGGGGGTGTTCTTTCACACGCCTGAGCGGCGCAAGTTATACTGATATAAGTGGTAGTGTAGACATGGCCTTAGCCTTGCCATGCCTCAGTTCCTACTATTTAAAATGATTGTAATAATAATAGTGCCCAACCTTGAATACATTCATCGATGTTTGTGAGATGCTCAGAGGATATATTGGTTGGGGTCAGATCAGTGTTAGACCTTAACCTCCTACATGTTCAGAAGAGCAGATGAGACACACACACGAATTATTTCCAAAGCTCTCTTGCCCTAGTTTTCTGTGAACACTATCCTTCTTTTGGAATCAGGACAGCTCTAAAGTCAGTATAAATTTTGAACTAGATGCTTGTATTTTAACTGGCAGCATAGCCTTGCTTAAATTCCCTGCTAACTGTGTCATCACTCTTCATGTATCTGCACTCTCTGTTTAAAGTGTATGTGTTTTGTTTTTTCCACATGCAGCATAAAAATCCAGGGACAGGTTGCGCTTTGCTTCCATGGTTGTGAAGCCATTGTTGATTCAGGCACTTCTCTTATTACCGGCCCCTCTTTACAAATAAGACAACTACAGGAGCATATCGGGGCCAGTCCAACACAAACTGGAGAGGTAAAAACCATAGAGCGGGACAAAAAACTCAGAGGAAGTGAAGTAATGATTTGATACAAATGCTGATGTGAGGGGGGAAGGGAAAGAGATAAAATGATTAAAATTAGGCACAAAGTAGGGACTAGGAGAAAAGCTTGCTGCCTGCACAGAGCTGAAAGCAGGGGAACATATTAGATTTATATTGTTTTCATCCTTTCCTGCCACCTCTGTTTCCAAGATATCTCTTCCCTCATTAATGACACATGTGCATCTAGTAGAAGCATCTGTTTAAGGAAATGTTCTGTTAAAGTTGCTCCGATGATCATGACATCATATGACAGATCTACTACACCTCTACCCCGATATAACGTGACCCGATATAACACGAATTCGGATATAATGCGGTAAAGCAGTGCTCCGGGGAGGGGCGGGGTCGCACACTCCAGCGGATCAAAGCAAGTTCGATATAACGCGGTTTCACCTATAACACGGTAAGATTTTTTGGCTCCCGAGGACAGCGTTATATCGGGGTCGAGGCGAACCTTGTAAAACAAGAGAAAATTACCTTTCCTACATCATATGGCGTGACTGTTAACTCCTTAAAGTCCAGAGCAGTTCCAGGCTGACTGTCAGTCAGAATCCGGAAATTAAGATAAAAAGATACCAGAATGACAGATATGTAATAATTCCATCACAGGCCACGGGTGTGAGCTGAGCTTCTGAGAGCTAACATTCTTGTTACCAGAACCCCTAGAGGGGGACACAGTTCTATCATTCAAAATATTCTGGTTCAGTTGAATGTAACATATAGATCTGAGAGCCAGATCTGTCCCAATCCCTGTCTTCCATCCCCCTGCTCTCCATCTTCTGCACAGTCCCATTCCCTGTTACCTCTCATTCCCCCCTCTCTTCCCTGCTCTACCCCTCCTCCCACTTCCTTCTTCCCCTCCATTTTTCCTTTTATCCTCCCTGCTGCTGCATCTTCACCTTCTACAGCATCCTGCTGCCATCTCCTTCATGCTCCGAGTCTCCTTTCCTCTCAATCTCTTTCTACCTGCTCCCTGCCACCCCCAGATTTCCTATGCTGCTCAGTCTCTCATATCTCCCTGTGTCTGTTCCAGTCCCCACTCTGCCACTCCCTCCCAACTGCTGCCACTCTCATCCTTTGATGCTTTCTAGGGTTGCCAACTTTCCATTTCTGGAAACTGGAAACCCCTGCTCCGCCCCCTCCCCAGATGCCTGCCCCCTGCTCCATCCCTGCTCCACCCTCTCCCCCAACGTCCCGCCCTCTGCTCACTCCTCTCCTTCACAGCCCTGCGCTCAGCCCAGGGAGCGCCGTACTCTCCCCACCTCACCAGTTACCTGCGGAGGAGGGAAGCTCCCTCCTTCTGCTGCACCTGCCCCCCGGCACATTCGGCCCCTGTCCCCAGTAGCCGGGCCTGGGCAGGGGGTGTCCTGCTGCCTCCCACAGCCAGGCTCTCTCTGAGGCAGCCCAGCTGCTGCGCTGAGTGGCTGGGCTTTCACACCAACCCACAGCAGAACAGCTGGCAGGAGAAGTGGATGGTCCTGCCCCTTCTGCTCTCTGGCACGTTTCCAGCTCACACAGCCTCTGACCCTGGCAGCCAGGTCCAGGCGGGGAATGGAAGGGCCGGAACCACATACTTCTTCCTCCGGGCGCTCCGCTATGGGTTGGCGTGAGAGGCCAGCCAGTGCGGTAGCTGCCTGCCAGAGAGAGAGCCTGACTGTGAGAGATGGTGGCGGCGGCAGTGGGTAAAGGACAGAGCCCCTCTTCTCACCCTGGTGGGCCAATTTTTCTTGGGGGGGGGGCACTTGCCCGCGAATGTCCCCCCTATGCATTGCCCCTACCCCTGCCCCTGCAGGCAGCAACCAGACTTTTGATGTCCGGTCAGTGTTTCCAAACCAGGCACTTTCAGATGGTATTTTGGACTGGACTTTCCAGTCAAAAACTGGACACCTGGCAACCCTAATGCTTTCCCTCATATGTTTACTCAGGGAGCAGCTTCACCATCTCCTTCACCTCTCCTTTGATGTCCAAACAGCTTTGCTTCTTCACTTCATGGCTTGCCAGTCTGCCTGCTCGCAACTATATTGATTCCTATATGCATTTAAATGGTAGTCCCACATAGTCTGGGAGCATGTGTAATTTCATGGGCAAATTAATGATAGAAAGGTAAGGGAGATGTCATTTGATTCATAAAAATCTACAGAATCATAATTTCAGTGGCTTCATCCTCTGCACTGATTAGGGGGACTCGCTGTCCCCCACCCGTACCTCCCCGGTTCACAGCTCCATGTCCTCTAGTTGATGAAGATTTATTATACATGAAGATGGTCCAGTCTTTGCTGCTCTTTATTTGATCTGTTAGAACAGCTAATTGGAATTTGCACCTCACAGCACTGAAAGACTTTGTGAAATACATTTTTGCTTAAGTTTTAACCAACTATTCTGTGATGATTGCCTGGTACCTGAATGAAATAAGAGGAGTAGAAAAGTGACACTAACATATGGGAGGCATTTTGAAAAGGGAATTGGGTTGTTAAAAGATCACCAGTTCCCTTCTGTGGACTTGGTTCAGACAAAGCCCTAGAACATGAAAACAGAGCAATGAAAGTCACGGGAGGGATTGCTGGGCATAACACAACATCCAAATGCTCTTTCCCAGTTTTTCCTGACAACCCCAGCACTCCGCTGAATTTTGAATGAAATATTAAGCAAGGCTGGGATGACTTCCCCAGAAGTAACCAAGTACCATCTGGACTCATTACATGCAGTTAAATGCCAAGAAGGGGCATATGAGGAGAGATTAATAAGACTGGGACTTTTCAGCTTGGAAAAGACACGACTAAAGGGGGATATGATTGAGGTCTATAAAATCATGACTTGTGTGGAGAAAGTAGATAAGGAAGTGTTATTTACTCCTTCCCATAACACATGAACTAGGGGTCACCAAATTAAATTAATAGGCAGCAGATTTAAAACAAACAAAAGGAAGTATTTTTACACACAATGCACAGTCAACCTGTGGAACTCTTTGCCAGAGGATGTTGTGAAGGCCAAGTCTATAACAGGGTTCAAAAAAGAATTAGATAAATTAATGGAGGATAGGTCCATCAATGGCTATTAGCCAGGATGGGCAGGAATGGTGTCCCTAGCCTCTGTTTGTCAGAAGCTGGGAATGAGCGACAGGTCATGGATCACTTGATGATTACCTGTTCATTCCCTCTGGGGCACCTGGCACTGGCCACTGTCAGAGATGGACCTTTCGTCTGACCCAGTATGGCCGTTCTTATGTACAGCCAAATCTTGGCAGGTTTTAACAGTTTCTGATTTGTTGAGAGGTTGTACCTCAGTCATACCATCTGTGATTACTATGCTGAAAAGCATCTTCTGGCATAAGATACTGGTTGTATTGTTAGTAGGTACTGGCTTAGGAAGACTATGCAAGATGTGAATTAGTTTGCTTTTTGCCTGGCACATATGCATTATTCCGTCACATTCGAGCATCGATCATGGCCCCATGGAAACTTGTACTTTCCCAAAGTCTCATGCAGATCAACATCATGCTGAGATCTGGACATGACCAGGAGACAAGCAAGCAATAACCTGTCTGTGGTTAGCTCTGTCATAGTCCCTGCCACCTTCACTCTGACTTTCTTCTTTACATTCAAGCACAGCTTTAGTCTGTTCTTCTTGATTGTAGCCCATAGATTGATGGAGCCTTGAATAATTCTTTGGGTTTTGAAGGCTTCATACAAGTTATGACCCAAAGTATCCATTCAACTGACATTGTTAGCTATCTCATCACTGAAGACTGCTTTCATCATGATATTAATGAGCTCCAGTCCATCATACATGAATGGGTTTGCTTGTGCAAGTAAGCTCACCCTGAAGCCATTCCATACGCCTAATCATTTTTGTTGCCCCTTTCTGAACCTTTTCCAAGTCCAATAGTATTCAAGATATGGGCATACCATGGATTTATATAGAGGCAATATGATATTTTCTGTCTTATTATCTATCCCTTTCCTAATGATTCCCAACATTGTTAGCTTTTTAGACTGCCGCTTCACATTGAGGGGATGTTTTCAGAGAACTATCCACAATGACTCCAAGATCTCTTTCTTGAGTGGTAACCACTAATTTAGACCCCATTATTTTATATGTATAGTTGGGATTATGTTTTCCAATGTGCAATTACTTTGCATTTATCAACATTGAATTTCATTTGCCATTTTGTTGCCCACTCACCCAGTTTTGAGAGATCCTTTTGTAGCTCCTTGCAGTCTGCCTGGGACTTGACTATCTTGAGTAGTTTTGTATGATCTGCAAATTTTTCCACCTCACTGTTTACCCCCTTTTCCAGATCATTTATGAATATGTTGAATAGGACTGGGCCCAGTACAGACCTCTGGGGGACACCACTATTTACCTCTCTCCATTCTGAAAACTGTACACTTCATTATGAGGCTACAGTAAAAATACTGGCTCTATGACAAAGTCCATCTCATGTTTGACACGTATGCAGAGGAGTCAATTAAAAGGATTACCAAAAATACCTGGTATTGCCTCTGTCCAATACAAAGTCACTGATCCACGAACATCTCCAATGTCATAATGAAGCAGCCACTGTCTCGTATCTCATGAAGGATGAGATAACCTCATACCTAGCAGGAAAAATACTCCAGCGTGCAAAGAATTGTTCAGAGAATTTCACAGTCACATGGCATAATGAAGCAGCTGCCTCACACTGTTCAGTGGAGTTTCTTCATAGTGCCCATGAGGAGTCGGACACTAAAATTACCTTGCATGCCATCAGTGCCCCAGAGAGAGGTGCTATTAAACTCTAGGTTTTTGCACAAGACACAGATGTTCTAGTGCTCTCCATGAGATGCTACCCAAGGCTTCCACAAGATCCTGATTTTGCACCTGCTGCTAGGAAGCAGAATTGTGGTATTTCCTCAGAGCTGTGTTCTTATCATGCAGAGCATTAAAAGCTGCAGTACTGCTAGGTTTCCATGCCCTTTCAGGATATGACACTACTGGAAGATGGGCTGGAAAGACCAAATTATCGTACTGGAAGGCATATGATTCAGCCTCCGAAGACTTTCTCCTCACTCTGAAGGTGTTCGGAATGACTGATGCAGTCAACTAGGGTGACCAATGTCCCGATTTTATAGGGACAGTCTGGATTCTTGGGTCTTTTTCTTATATAGGCTCCTATTACCCCCCACCCCCATCCCGATTTTTCACACTTGCTGTCTGGTCACCCTAGCAGTCACTGATGAGGTCATAAATGCGCTGGAGCCATTCATATGCCAAGTTTATCATTTGAAGACCAACATTATGACACTTGCAGAGCTACGTAGATGGATGTTTTCCAAGAAGCAAATGAAGAAAAATTGCTACTGACAAGGGGTGCATTTATATCTGCTATCAAGAGGGTGAATTATCAAGCAATGGAATGGCTTTACGATGATTGAGCATGTCCAAAACTACCTTCCCTTATAGGGCATGGATGGGTCTTGAAGGAGGGACTGATCACACCACTTGTGTGTAAAATACCATGTGCTCCCAAATCAGTCCTTCAGCTAATCAAATACTTGTGTGCAAAGAACAGATGCTCATTATCCTGCAAATGTTTGGCCAGCAGCCTGCCTTTCACGGAGAGGTGCATGTGTGGCACGGATGAGGATCAGTGTGACAATGTATCTAGCAGTGGAGTAGATGGAGATGACACTGATGATGACTTTGATGAATAAATGTTTTCAGTCCTACTTGTCAAGGCAACTTCCCTAGGAAGGATTACCAAAGGTCAATTTATGTTAAAGTATAATTTAAAAAAACTTTGCTTTTTAAACCTACACACACACACACACACACACACACACACACACACACACACACACACACACACTTGTTAGAGATTTGTCATATTTGGTACCATTATGTTTGTGGAGGGAAAGGGCTTTTGAAATATACCCAACTCGAACCTTTTCCAATGACCTTGTATTATCAAAATTTCCACCAACTGGAGGCCCTGAGGCTGAGGTGCAGGGAGTCCCCTCTACCCCGGTGCAGAAGGTGACATCATTGAAATTATGATGCTGTAGATTTTATGAATCAAATAACATTCCTTTATCTTTTAATCACTAACTTGCCCACAGAATGAGATTTTACTACATTGTGTTCCCAAACTGATATTGCTGAGCTGTCATGCACGGAGTAGTGTATGAAAACACTGCCACCTTGAGGTGTATTATAAATAGAATACAATGCCAACAAATTGATTATAACACATTACAACACTGCTATAAAGTCCAGTCCATTTCAGTGCTTCAACTTCTCTTTCTGCTGTGTTCACATTTCCCATGTACTTCATGGGTAAAACAAAATTATGAGCTCACATGGCCTGAAATTGTTCTAGACACATTTGTGGTGTAAATGGAGCTACACTATGGCTTGAGCTGGGAGAAAATTTTTCAGCTAACATATTTTTTTTGAAAAAAAAAATGAGATTCAGCCACATCAAAAAGTTTTGCAAATTTGTGTTGCTTTTGCTGAATTGTTCATGTTGCAGGGAAAAGTTTCCAAAAATGTCAAACTGGAGCATTTTGATTTTTTCAATTGAAAAGACTTTTTTTTAGGAAATTGCCTTCAATTTTTTTTTTAAAAAATCTAAAACATTAAAAACACTCAAAATTGAAATGAAACATTTTGGTTCAAATGGAATGTTTTGTTTGACCCACAACACTTTTTTTTTTTAGACTTTTCAATTCACCAAAAATGAAAAAAAAAATGTTTTGCTTTGTTTTGAACTGAAAAATCTGTTACTTGCCCAGATCTAATTTATGACCCTCATAGCCCATTATGCAATACCTTGGCTCTGTTATATTATTTATCTTATATATATATGATATATCCCACAATATACTCTGCAGCTCTACTTGGCTCTTGTTTTCCAGAATGTACTCGACAGACATTCAAAATACTTGGGGAATATATTTTCATAAACTAGATTTTTAAACATATTCCTCCTGTTGTAAAACAATAAGCTAAAACACTACAGCTTACAACAAAGTTCCCAGAGGGTATTAGACCATCTTCCAGAATGGTCCAAAGTTCTTTTAATTTTTTAATGAATGGAGCAACTGGAGAAGCAATAAATAAATAAATAAATAATAAAAAAAACCCAACAAAACCAACAGCAACAAAACAAACCCCACACAACAAACCCCCCTCTCATATATTCACTATGAATTAGTGTAATATTTACAGCAATGAATG